ATAGTCTGGAATCAAATCCATGAATTTGATTACCCAGATGGTGTGATAAAAAGGAAAGTGTTTAAGATCTCAGGTCTTGGCCCAGCATGGTGGCTCATGCTTGTAATCCCAGCACTTGGGAAGGTGGAGGCAGGTGGATTGCTTGAGCTCAGGAGTTCGAGACCAGCCTGAGCAAGAGCAAGACCCCATCTCTACTAAAAATGTAAAAATTAGGGCAACGCCTGTGGCTCAAAGGAATAGGGCACTGACACCATATGCCAGAGGTGGCAGGTTCAAACCCAGCCCTAGCCAAAAAAAAAATTAGCCAGATGTTATGGTAGGTGCCTGTAGTCCCAGCTACTTGGGAGGCTGAGGCAAGAGAATCACTTGAGTCCAAGAGTTTGAGGTTGCTGTAAACTATGACGCCATGGCACTGTACCAGGGGTGACAAAGTGAGACTCTGTCTAAGTAAGTAAGTAAATACATAAATAAAATCTCCAATCTTGCTTTGTAGGTGAAATTTGAAGAATCAGCAAGATCTTTCCCCAGTTTCCCCTTCTTATTGAAACCTGCTCTGCTTTCAAGGTCTAGTCCAAATGCAAAGAGCCTTCCCAGAGTCCTCCAGACCTAATCCTCTGGGCTCCTAAAACAAGTCACTTGTGTCTGTAATAGTCACATCGTTCTAACATGAGTCACAGTTAAATTTTACATTTCTGCCTTCCTCACGTGTACCCATTCCAGGATTTATCTCTTAACATCCCTTCAAGTCATAGCCCCTGTGCCTAAGGAGGGAGCGATGAAGGAGATGCTTGGTCTAAGGCAGTGGTTCTCACCCTTCCTAATGCAGCTGCCCTTTAATACAGTTCCTGTGAGTCACGACCCACAGGTTGAGAACCGCTGGTCTAAGGAGAATGGAAGGTGCTCAAAGACCTACAGGGGCTGGGCACAAGTCGGAGTGGTGCTGGGAATTCTTCTTAAGACTCATGTCCATGCTCCAGGATGCTGGTCAGTGGAGCAGGATGGAGGGAGGTCCTGTCTCTGTTTGCTAGTAACTAGCCAGGAGTGAAGGTTGCTAGGACACATCTCCACTGTCAGGGGGATGGACTTTCTGTGTGTCACCACACTCCAGTCCTTCCAAGGGGCTCTCCTACATCCTTGACAGTACTTGGGGACAAGAAGGCCAGATCAGGAAATCAGGGTGGGAATGTGAGCAGGGATAAAAGGGTTCCTGGAAAGATGTCATCATGTAGGGTGTGGGCTTGTTTTCTACCAGTTTAGTGGCGCCTCCTCCATCTGTTTCTCAATTATGGAATTTCTCTGTCCCAAGCCCCTCTGCCAAGCATATGATAAGATGGGTTTGTGTGTGTATGTTTCTTCTTTCCGTGTTGGAAAAACTCAGATATTCCAGGCAGATTTGTCAGCGGCTTTTTTCCCTCAGCCAGAAGGGAGGCTCCAAGCCACAGCCACTTATATTCTAGCACTAAGCCAGTTCTGTGCCTATCACTGTGGCAGGAAGCCATGGACTGGGTTAGGATAGGCCACAGAGCAGAGTGGCCTGGATGGCATCACGGCTACCCCTGCACCAGCTCAGCCCCCACCCCCATCTCTTCCTCTGTGTCTCTCTGTCTTGCTGCTCTCATTTCTGCTCCTTCTCCCCCCACCCTGCTCTTTCTCGCCTTTCCTCCCCAAATCTCTTCATCTCTCCCTCCCTCTCTTTTTCTCCATCTTCATTGTAAAGGGAATGGCCCCACTGCTCCGAGTGGTAGTACTTCTGAGGAAAAGAAACTGAAGCTACTTCAGGTCATCCTGGCCCATCCCTTAACATCTCCCACTGGGGCTGCCTGATGAATGAGCCTGTGTGAGATGAAGGAGAAAGCAGCCAGGAATTCCTCCCTTCAAAAATTCAGCATGGAAGTGAACCTAAAGTGACCAATTGCCACAACCCTTTGAGGAGTGAGGCAGTTGAAGGAAAGCAAACAATGGTTCTAGTAGGAGGATGGCCAGGCCACAATCAAGATCCAGCCTGTCCATAGATGGGCTTCCCTGGCCTCGGTCAGGGCAGGGCATGGGGTGGGGTACTCAATGTACCATCTGCTGCTAATTAGGCTAAGCTGGGCCATTCCTGTGTGCTCTAGGGGACACTTGCCAGCATTGCCTCAGTGTTGTCAAACTTAAGCCTATGTAGGAATCACCAGGGAAGCTCATCAACAATACAGATTCCTGGGTCACATCCTTATGGATTGGATTCAGGAGTTGGGTGGGTCTTAGAATCTGGGTATTGATCCAGTACACAAGTCTCAAAAGAGGAAACTTCGTAGATTCTGAGAAGTAAACAGAGGGCTGGCCCTGCAGCACCAAGGCATGAAAAGAGCTGAGTGTGCTCCCAGGGGAGGACGGGGGAGCTGGGGAATACCCCTGCACTCCTCTAGCCAGGCCCTCTCTAGCCTGAGCCAGCTTGTTTTAAGGAGACACTTGCTATGAATCTGAATGGCAGGTGGACTCTTTCCAGATATCTGTGCCTGATGAACCCCTAACCGAGCCTGTATGAGACAAGAACTTCTGTCTCCTCTACCCACCCTGCACAGGGCCCTCACAACCAAGTGAGGTGGGGAAGGGTGGGGGATGGGAAGATGTGCATAGAACTAACATTATGTTTTAGCCACTTTATGGAAATGTCTAATCCATTCCTACTCATAACTTTCCACCTTCCAATGGACACCAAAGAGCGGTATCTTTAAAATACCAGTTGGACTTGACCTAAAACCTGCCGTGGTTCCCGGAGTAAAGCCCAGCTTCCCTAATGTGGCTTGCAAGGACCTTTGGGGGCTGGTTCCTCCCTGTCCATGATACCAACTTCTACTTCAGTTTACTCTCCAGTAACACAGAAATATTTATACCGGGTAGTTTCTTCCTATCCCTGTGCCTCTGCTGTTCCCACCACCAGGAATACCTTCCATGCTTTCTCTGTTACGTATCACTTGTTCATCAGCTAAGATTCCACTCTGGAGTCACCTGCTCCCAAAGTCATTCCCTGACACCCTGTCAGCCTGACCTAATCATCCTCCCCTGTGATAACAGTGACTTAATGCTACACTTGAGCTGTGAATTCCTATCATAGCACCCACTCTGGGATATTGAAGTTATCTGTTGGTATGCCTGCCTTACCCCAGACAGGTGAGTTCCTCAGGAGCAGGCAACATGTCTCAGTCACCTGGGTCGTTCCAGCACCTAGCATGGGCCCCGGCACACTGTAGGTGCTTACCTAGTTCATGTCTGATGAACTAAACAGGCTCTTTTTCTTTTCTCAGGGTTATATTAGGAATCACTGCATAGAATGAAGAAGAACATTTAGAAGGTATTCAGACACCTGAGATCTTACAGGTTGTTCTGGTCATGGGCCTCGGCAGATTGCATCTCCTCCTGAGGTAGACTCAGAAGCTCAGTAGAACTTTGGTTTGGGGGAAGCACTCATGTCAGCAGCTCTACCCTGCCTGGAAACAAATGCAACCCTTGGAGTATGTCCCTCACATCTCCTGGGCTTTGCTCATGGTGCCATTAGAGCCGGATCATATCAGCTCCCAGAAATCTGCATTTGGCCTTCAGGGATCCCCTGGCTTTTTGCTGAGCTCCATCAAGCATGTGGGATCCAGAACAGCTTTAGCTGCCAGGGAAAATCCACTATGGGACTCCCCTGAAGGGCCATTGATGAGTTGGAAGTATGGGCCTGAAATTCATGGCAGCAGAGTTAACCAGAGGTGGCACAGTGCCCAGGGGGCATCAAGGCAGCGGCTGGCCTATGAGGCCCCAGGACTTGAACCCATGGGCTTAAGTGACCACATGGACTTGAGGCCCAAATGGCAATCATGAAGCCACTTAGGCAGCCTCCAGCTACCCTTCCCTGGGTCTTTTCCAGTAGCAGAGAAGATGTCAGCCTCCAGGACTCACCATCCCATATTTGTAGCCATGCTGAGTCTGTGGCCTGAATAACCTCAGGATGAGGAGGTGCCCATGAAGATGGCCAAGAAGGATCTCTGGGATTATTTGGGGTCAAGCATCATGTCTTCATAACACTCAGGGCTATTTTACTGTGTTCCTTTCCTCCTTTCTCCACCCCTACCTCCAAGCTGGGTAGGTAGTCCGGCACTGATTTAAGGGAGAAAGACTAAATTTGCAAGTAATTTGAACAAATTGGAAGGTCTTGCTTGCCACTCTAACTTCTAGACAAAGTGAGGGAATGCTTAAAACAACCTATAGTACTCAAACCCAATATTTAGGACACAGCCTGGAGTTTAAACAGTGGTAGGATGGAAAAAAGGAGCAAGCACTTAGATGGTGGGTTTGAGGTTAAAAACCAGACCTCTGACCAGCGCAGGGGCTCACATCTATAATCCCAGCACTGTGGGAGGTTGAGGTGGATCATTTGAGTTTAGGAATTCAAGACCAGCCTCAGGGAGAGAGAGAGCCCATCTCTACTAAAAATAGAAAAATTATTGGGTGCTGTGGTACACACCTGTCGTCCCAGTCACTGGAGAGGCTGACGCAGGAGGATCACTTGAACCCAGGAGTATGGGGTTACTGTAAGTTAGGCTGATGCCACAGCACTCTAGCCTGGGGAACTGAGGGACAATGCTATGAAAGAAAGAAAGAGAGAGAGAGAGAAAAATAAATAAAGACAGAAAGACAGAAAGAAAGAAAGAAAGAAAGAAAGAAAGAAAGAAAAGCTTAAAAGACCTCTTTCTCCCTAAATTTCAGGTTCTTTGTACAGCTCTCCAAATGACAGAGGGCAGGAGATTGGAAGGAATGGGAAGCCAAGCCCTTCCAGCTCAAGGCCATCTTCCTTGGGTTCTACCCTGAAATAAGGGCTCATTTAGGGGAAAGGCACGAATCAGGAAATGACATGTCCCCATTTCCCAATACTTCCCACAGGTCCCCACTGAGGCCCTGCTTGGTTGCCAAGGACATCCAACTGAGAGTCTCCCTTGCCTCACAGACATAGCCACAGAAGTAGAAAAGAAGGCCACATTTATTCCATTTTCTAAAGGTGCAGGGTGCTGGACTTATAGGCCCGTGCTTACTTGCATGGCCACCTGTTCCTGCTGGCCGGCTGCATGTCCCAGGCCCAGTGTTGCCTCAGAGAGAGGGGAAAATGGAAAAAGGGTCCCCAAGGCACTGGCACCTGGCCTTGATCACTCATTAGCTCAATCTGAGGTCCAACCAGTCCAAGAGCAGAAGGAAAATGAGGCTCTGTGTTGTTTGGGGCTGAATGTGGTGACCCCAGAAACCACAGGGGAGTTAGACAGAGCTGTGTTCAATGTGAAAGACCTCAAGGGGAAGGAAGATGGAGATGAGGTCATTTGACCCAGCACCCTGGGGAAACCCCAGGAGGTCTCTTCTCCTGTTCCCCAGGGAGTGAAGCCCTGTAAACCAGAGGCTGGATGGGAGAGCATATGACATCCACTTGTCCCCATGGCCCAGCCAGGTTCAGCCACACAGGCCAGGGTAAGGAGGAGCACTATCTGAGCCTAAATCAGAGAAAGTCATTCCAGGCAGTAGCTGCCACACTCTTCCCTGTGAGTCTGGACGGAGATGGCCTGGTGTCCTAGTCTGGGCTGGGCTGCTTCCCAGGGGGAAAGGCAGTGGAAGGTAATGCTGGTGACATCTCCCAGCCATTGGCCAGGAGGGAGGTAGGCTGATGAGATGGGACCAGATCTCACCCTGGGTTGGGTCCCGCAGTGCAGGGGTGCAGTGTTCGAATCATTCTAATGCTTCAGGATGCTTCATGCACCCCACGGAGCTCAGACTTCAGGAGCAGCTGGGATTCTATTTAACCTGCAAGGAAAGGCACAGATGAGCTTTTACCCACCTGCTGGAGCCCCTTGCAGACCACACCTCCGGCCCACATAATCACTTTCACTGAGCCATTGAAGTCCTCAGCTCTCCTCTGTGGCAGCTTCCTTCCCTGACGAGATCCCTCTGGTTCTCATCTCTGACAACACGCTAGAATCACTGGGAAGTTCTAATAAAGTTTCCCAACTCCCAGCTGTGCCCAGAGTCTCTTGGGCAAGACTTAGGCATCTGTACTTTTAAAAGCTCCCCTGGAGGTTCCAATGCACAGCCATGGTGTAGGAGGAGGGAAAAGGAGTTCACATCGGTTCATTTGGCTCTTTGGCTACAGCTCTGAATAAGGAAGTGAAAATTCATTAAAATAAAGTTTTGATCTAACTGTAAATAGATTACATATCACAACAAAAAAAATTTATGTTGGCACTAAAATTAGAACTTCCTGCTTAAGAGAGCTGTTTTGGAAAGTCTTTCCAAGAAGCTGTTGAATCTCCTGTGTGTGGGCATTTAGTAGCATGAATTCTCCTCTTGCTGGAATAGGACAGGGAGGAGATACCACCCTTATCCAAGGAATCTCTGAAACTCTGCAGACAAACCACAAGGCTTTGCGGACAAACCACAAGCTCTTTCCCTACCTCCTGGTCCCAAGGCTAATGTCTCAGACTGGTGTGAATCCGGGTAACAATTAACATTTAGTGAGTCTTCCATATACACACATGCACATACACACACAGGCACCTCAAATATCTCATTTTATTTAATCTCTATGAGGTAGGAATTATTATTCCTATGTTATAGGGATGGGAACTGAAGCTCAGAGCTGAGCAAATCTCCTAGGGTTACAAAGTTGGTATGAAACAGAGTCAGGCTTCCAGTCGTGTTGGATCTCTGCTGACTTTTCCCACCCTGGTTCCCAGAGTGGGAAAAGCTAGACAGGAGGCCCCTGGGGAGGGGGTGGGAGGTGTGTGCACATGAATGTAAATAGTTGCTGACCTTCAGGGCAAGCAAGGACCATTCTTCCCTCTGAGATTATCCATTGGCATTAAAGTGCTTTATAAAGTGGGACTACAAGATGGCAGGGTTGTTTTTGTTTTCTCCCTGTCAAATATGCTAACTTTTTTACACAGGCACATGGTAACTCTGTTGTTCTCCAATTGTCTTTTGTGAATTTTACACAAAATCCCAAAGTCTGAGCCCTGTTACATTTCCACACCAACCCCTCTGCTACCCTGCAGCCTCCATCAGGAGATAGTCCAGCATCTCTGCTGGGCCTGTGGCCCTGAGCTGGCCTGCAACATTGGCAGAAGGAATGGGAGCCCCATGGGTGGGAAAAACATGGGCCTTGGGCAATGCACCCCCATGGTCTGGACAGCTCCCTGAGGTAGGACAAGGTGTGAGAATGGCACCCACTCTAGTGACTGCAATCTGGGAAGTTCGGGCACAGTCCACGCTCAGCACAGAGCTGGACAGGGGCACAAGTCTCTGCCCCTGACCCCTGACAGCTTGGAGGCTCACATTTTAAAGACTAAGTGGAACCTATACCTCTTCAGGATGACAAGTCACTTGTGGACAAAGCATAAGCTCCAGGGGGACTGTTTAGAAAATGCACATGGGTCATCGAACCTGTATGAGCAGGCACAGGGAGCCTGCAGCCCCCTGGCAGGGGCAGCTTGACCACCCTGCCCTTTCCAGGCACACAGCAGGTGGGAGGCTGTCTCCTTACCGCTCAATGATTTGGTTGTTTTCCTGGAGGTCAAACGCCAGCTGCTTCATCTGCTCGCAGAGCTCTTGCATGCTGTCCAAGGCAGAGGCAAGAGAGGCAGCTGAGGCCAAAGGCAACTGCCCCTTCCCCAGGAGGCCCACCCTGCTCTGAGGCAGCCTCTGCATTCCTGGGCCTGGCATGTGGCAAAACTCCTAGCTCAGACCTTACCCTCAGCAACACCCCCTTCCACACACTCCTCTCCAGCACTTACTGGAAAAGCAGGTCCCTTTGTGTAGAATAAGGAGCTGCAGGGGGTGGTGAGGCTGGAGTCCCTTCTGTTCTGTCCTGAAGGAGCTGCTGAGATACCCGGTCAAGGATCTGAAGGGAAGCCATGCTGTAATCAGCAATTAGGAGCCAGCCTAACTGCCCCCCTGCAGTGCCCAGAATTCTCCAGCCGTTCCCACCTTGCCAAGGCTCTCCTGGGCTTCCCGGGCATCTGAGATACAGACGACCACAGAACAGTGCACCAGGTGCAGTTGGTTGCTGGTCTCATGTACCACTCTGAAGAGAGCAGGTAAAGAACTAGAATTAGAGCAGGGCTCGGCTCACTTCTCCCCATGGTCACCACACTGACACAGATGTGTCCCAGGCGTTCACCTCCCTTGAGGCCTCTGCCCTTCCAGCTGTGGCCTCACCTCTCCCCTGCCCCACTGCCATAGTGTGGATGAGCACATCTGCCTAAAGGTAGGCGGGTCCCTCCAGAACACAGAGGAGGAGCTCTGGCAACATGCTTACAGCTGGTGACACCTGACAGTTACAGTGAGCATGACACCGGGCAAGGCTCCACAGAGGCAGAGGACAACCCACTCCAGGGTACTTATATGGTGCTGCCATGCTCCCATTTCCAGTGTGAATTCTCCTTTCTAAGTAGAAAGAATGAGCAAGAACATTTTCCCCCAAGGCCTAGCACCATTAAACCAGGGCTGGTCTTCAGCCTTGCTACACATTAGAATTATTTGGAAGAACTTTTAATATACTGATATCCAAGCCCTACTCCAGAGCAATTGAATCAGCATTGGGGGTGGGTTTGAGGTGGGGAGCTGGGTGGTGGTATTCTGATATGAAGGTGGGGGAGTGCCTGGGTCTCAGCCCCATGACAAGTGCACAGGTTACATGCCTTGGACCCTGCCAACACCTAAGAAACTGTCCTTTCTCCTCAGGAGGGGTCAGGGTTCACAAGACTGGGGAGGGAGGGCAGGCCTTGTCTGAAAAGGGAGACGCCAAAACTCCTGAAGGAGACAGTGTGAGAAAGAGTTCTCACACTGAGAGTTTAAGGGCCTCTGCCACACCCGTCCTTATCCTATAGGGACCTTGTGTTCTCCCAAAAGAGGTTTCCCAATTCAAATTTTAGAGGCAGACATGTCAGGTACCAGTCTTGGGTCTTGCCCTTACTAGCTGTGTGAGGAAGAGACCTGTTCTCTGAGCCTCAGTTTCCTCATCTGTGAAATATGGTGATAATATCTATTGCATACGGTAGGTATTGCGGAATTAAATAAGCTAAGGTATAGAAACCACCCAGCAGACAGGTGAGTCCACTCAGGTACACAAACCCACTCATTTCCTCATGTTCCCTCACTGACTCCTCCCTCTTGATCAGGGCTTGGCAAAGCCCAGGGTCCTCTGAAGCCTGGAAGGGCCAGGCCAGGCCCTGGGACCCACAAGCTCAGGAAAGATTGTTACCTCATCCACTTGCCATGTGTGACTAGGGACACCTGATACTTCTGCACACACTCCTCCTGGAACACCTGCAGGAGCCTTTTGGCTAGGTGACTAAAATTCATCCTAGAAAGACAGGGAAACCGAGGCACAGAAATGAGCAGCCAGAGCCATCCGTCTACCGTAAGCCCAGCCTCCCTCGGTCTTCATCAACACCTTGTCATAGTACCCAAGCCCTGGGCCCACAGGAGGGACCTTTATCTCTAGGGAAGGAGGACAGTCACACAGTTGGATCATGAAGGCCAGAGTGGCCAGCAAAGCATACACTCAGAGACACGACCCCTTAGCTCAGTCCCCAAAGGAAAGAGCAGAGCAGGAGAGATAGTTTATGGGAGGAGCGTGTGTGCATGTGTGTTTGGAGGACCGGGGGTGAGTGTAGAATAGCAGGAGTGAGTCTCCAAATAGCCACTGTGGACAAGCTAGCCAGGGCCTCCTGGACAATGGGAGTGTCCGGAAAACGGGGACAGAGGTCAGGAGCAGGAAGTGGTAAATCAGTAAGGACAGCCAGGGAAAGGGATCCTGCAAACCATCTTGTCCATTCAGGAAGTAACCCCCATTATGTCAAGAGTGCTTCCAGGGAGCCTCCCTCCGCTGGCCCTGGACAGCCCACCCTGGATAGAGCTATCCTTTGGTAGGATCAGGGCCCTTCATTGCTCTGCCCTGGTGACTTCCATCCTCTGCCCACCCGCAAGTCACTCACTTATCCAGCTTGTGAATCTGCTCCTCATTGTAGCTAAGCCCTGAAGGAAACAAGACAGGACCAATGTCACTTACTTAATCCGTCAACAAAACAGAGCACCACAGGATTGGGTGACAGTTTCAAAGAGAAGACAGCCCAGCCTGTGCTCTGCTTCATGGAGCCTCATGGCCAATGGAGTCAGGAAGGACAGAGGAGGGGAACAAGCACCTGAGTAAATGATTATGACAAGGAGGACCCAAGGCATCAGGTTAGGGTTCCAGAAGAAGCCGTGGGTAAGAGGTGCCCTAATGCTCATGTAGCGTGGACGTGCTGCCCCCTCCTGGGCTATGTGGGAATGGCCCTCAGGGTCCTGGCAACTCCGACATGAAATGATGATGCAGGTTGTTTGTGGGTTGCCCCATCCCACTCCCCTAAAGCAGAATCTCCTTCCTGGGCCCTGCATGCCACCAGCTGAGAGCACTTGTGAAGTCTAAGAGATCTGGGACAAGTCCCAGCTCGGCCTAATGTGAGCAGGCAGCTGTGGGACGTGGTTCCCCTCCCTGAGCCTATTTCCTCACCCATCACATCCATCCTCAGCTTTCAACACTCTGGGTGTTAACAGTTAAGGGCTCATTGTGAATTTTAAGAAAGGACTCTTAAAGACAAGGAGAAGTAAAACTCTCTTGAGGCTGTAAAATAAGGTGGGCAAAAGCAGTTGGACTAGATTACCTGGGCTACTTAATCTTTTGTGTGTCTGTGTCTCAGTTTCCTCATCTAAAAAATGGAAGAGTAATGGTGCGTGGAGTTTTTGTGAGCACTACATCACTTAAGAACAGACATGGCCCATTGGATGGTCCCTGGCACAAGGGAGGCACCCAGAAGTCTACGTTACAGGGCTATGGCAAAGCCTCTGAGGTGCTCCTGAAATCATAGCAAGGGTGTCCTGCTGGATACAAGTCCCCACCACCTCGTAGGAAGAGTCCTGCTTTCCCCACATGTCCCCTGGTTCTCTTCCATATCCTAATGCCAGGCTCTGATTGCAGCCACCAAAGAGACAATTATTTTCTAGATCTGTATGTCCAGTCTTGGGTCAGCAGACACACATAGCTACCGAGCCCTTGCCATGTGGCTTGAATTTGGAGCTGAATTTCCAATTTATTTAAAGCTTAACACAGAAGCACTGTAAACTATTTTTCCCCTATTAAACACCGCTCTGTTATTTTGCTTTGGTACACATTTAGCTTCCCAATAGAGACATGCTATGAGTGTAAAATATACACAAGGTTTTAAAGGTTCAGCACAAAAAAGAACAGAAAGTATGTCATTAGTAATTTTGTTTATACTGATTATATGATGAAATGACACCTTGGATATATTGGGTTGAATAAAATATGTTATTAAAATTAATTTCATCTGTTTCTGCCTTTTAAATGTTGGCTACTAGAAAGGTTTAAAATTACATACATGGCTGGTATTATATTTCTATTGTGTGGTGGTTTTTAGGTAATCCCAAAGATAGAAGAGAATTGAGCAATCAAACCCAAGACTTCGGTCTACAGATTAGGAAATGTTTAGGGCATTGGAGGGGAGTGAGAGGGTCAGTTCCTGGTGGTAACTGGGGCCTCCCCAGGCTTCCTCTGACATCACTAGCCCTCCCTTGGGGTGATTCTGTCCGATGAAGGCAGTCACCTCAGGCAAGTGGATTCCCATCTCTGGCCAGCGAGCGGGCTGGCCCCATCCAGGTCTCGTGAACATTAATAGATAATGAAGCCAAAATGCCTAGCCTGGTATCTCAAGCTGGGATTTCTTCTGGGTGCCTCCACTCCTAGAAAACTTAACTATCCCAGTGCCCCCAATGCATAGGGCAATTCTCTCTAAAC